GCGGGGAACGCTCCTCCTATCAAAAGATATCTAATCAGCAGATGCCAGCTGAAATTTGTTAAACCTCACAAGTGGATGTCGGGAATATGATTCAAAAAATAATGTCACCATGTCTCTTTCGGATACATAGTTGAGTTCATTTATATAACATCCATATTTCATTAATACAGTTTTGGGGGACGAAAATCACATTGCTTGTTTACCTGCAGTAACTTTACTGCAAAATATTCACGGCCAGTATCAAAAAATATTATAAAAGGGATGATATTGTATTTGAATGCAATCGATCTCATTCATTTACACCAGACCGATGCATTACTAAAACCTTCCGCGAGATTCTCAAAATCGAAATCCGATTTGCAATCGGTACTGACTCAACTCTCATAAAATCACATTCATGACGATGAGTTTGAACAGAAATTTATGTAGACAATTGATAAATCGCAAGAGCACGAGAAAAGATGTAGCCTTTGGGATGAAAAGGATGTTCAGCGGAAAATATATCCTCTGATCATTTGACTTTCTAGTCAGGGCGTTCAGTGCGTTGATGGTTAGCAATGATATCGACAAATTATCATGCCATAAAACCGATCTGACGGAAGTGATCACGAACAATCGGGTAAGATTTCTCACTGGAATTCTCAATTTCTTAATAAAAACGATGCTCATTCGAATAAAAACCCCATGCTCAGACATGCTTGCCATTCCGTTCCCTTAAACTCGCCAGCAATAATTTCATCGTCGAATATATAGATTGTCGAGCATGGTAAGGATGACGAAAATGCTTGAAGTGTTCAATGACGAAAGACAGAACGGAACGACGAATCGGTTATTCACTGCAATGCATTCCAAATTTGTTACGATTTGAATTTCTACCATGAATGAGTGAACTGATTGGTTAGTCGATTGAGTGACAAGTGAGAATGATCGAAGAGCAAAGTGCCCCATCTGCGTTTTGAAAAAAGTCCTCTCACGAGGCGAATCCTCAGCTGTTCACTGTAGTTGAATTCGAATACTGTTGAAGCGTATAAGAGATATCCATCATTACAGAATGGACGCTGCATTTCATTCGACACAATATATACCATTGCAGATAGATGAATGGCATACAGAAGTATCAGAATGTCTACTGTTTTACAACCAACATAATATTGACCGTAATATCGAATCGCTGCAGCAATAAGTGCTGTCGGATAGCGGGTAGATTGCAGGTATCATCAGATATAAAATGTGAGCTTAACAGGACATACCTGGATGGTGTGCATAATAGTGTTCCAGCAGATAGACTTGCAAGAACTTATTATTGACATGCAATCTGAACTCAGCGAATAATTGAAATGATAAACAGAAATCAGAGATTACCAACCTTTTGGGACTGCCCTCCACCTCGGAATGATGCACCACCATGACCACGTCGTCCACTCCCTCTGAATTTCACAGGAAATGTTTTCACGTTAGAACTACCACCTTGCGATAACTCATTTGGCAGATTATCAGGAAGTGGCGTATAACCAGCATAATGTTGACCGTAATATCGAGCCGCAGCAGCAGTAATTGNGGAAGTGGCGTATAACCAGCATAATGTTGACCGTAATATCGAGCCGCAGCAGCAGTAATTGGTGACGGATAAGCGGGAAGGTTGCAGGCTTCATCTGAAGCAAAGTGGGAACTTAATGGTACATATTTGGATGGTGTGGATGATGTTGTACCCGCGGGTAGATTTCTTGCTCCGCCACAGCCGTAATACATTTGTGCTGATGGTGCGCCATTCGAATATCCACCTTGTTCATGTTTCACGTTACCCAACTTACTCCAACCCGGCGGTACATACCCATAACCGTCATCCATTGTTCTCTTCAATTGTACTTCCGTCAAATACACAATGAGTAAACAATCACCTGAATAAATCAATGATTATTTTTAAAATAAAGAAACTCCACACGATTCATCGTTTTTCCAACTATAATATCGATTTTTCATTCAATAAAGAAGAACAAGACGTCGTGGTCATAAGCAATAACCATTCCTCTTAAACGATTCGAAAACGGCGATCTTTGCAAATCAAAGCAATTTGTGAACATCGTGATAAAGCTGCAGTGCCTGCGAGTTTGCTTTGGCCTCATCAGCTTGGATTTGGCTCAAGTTT